GGGAGTCTCAAAATGATAGCAAAGACAAATTCGAATTCAAGCATAATTTATCCGTCCAGACAGGGGTGTGCGATAGACTTACCTCTACGTGTTGCACCCTGGGCAACGTATACTCATACGACGAAAAAGTCTATTAACTGGCAGTTAACTTCTAATTTCAAACTACCATCACCATACTGTATGTTATATTCGACTACTTCCACAGTACTCACCTCACCTTTTTTTCTACCTTTATGTCTCTCTTTTACATCTTTAAAACACTCTTCTGTTCCCCATCGCCTCTCGACTTTTTTCGATTTGATGTTCCTCTCCCTCTGTGAAGCCTAAAGTCAACTAAAGGGCTAATGATAACCATCAAGACGCCTGCCATTTGATATAAAAATTTTGAGCCGCCTCACTGAATAAAGCTGATATGATCTGTGCAAATAACAGACTCCGACTGAAGAATATGTGTCTACAAATAAGGGTCTGGAACTATTATTGCAATTTTGGCTTTCGGTAACTTAAGACTGTAGGCTGAAATATCCAATTACCCATGATGATGTTGACACATTTTGATTATTGAAATAAGTGTCCTGTGGAAGGTTTTCCAAACACTTTCAGTATCTAGTTCCAATCAACAAACGAACAGGATGCATGAAAAATTGGGTGTAAAGTGGGAATGATCACTTTTCCCTTCAAATTTAGCATTGAGATACATGCCCTTTCACTTATATTTAATCAAATTTATAAAGCATTTAATAGAAAAGATATGAATATGCTCGAACTAGAAGCGCATTCAATGCACGAAAATCATATGAAGTGCGATGGATCCGCACGCTTTGAAGTTTCGATTCCACACAAGTAATGGGCTTGGAGTGTTAGATGCGCTCGCTATATTTGTCAAATAATGAGGTCACGCGGCTAATTTGCTCGAGTTTGACGCATAAAATAATTATTAATAGTCTCCTTGTATGATCACGTTCTTTGTGTCTTCTGTGTGAGAATGCTTGTCTAGGCGGATGATTTTTTGCTGTCAAACTGTCACTTCCATATTTTGTAGTAATCCCAAAACTTCCGAAATACATGCGGTTGGCACATTTAAAACGTTTGAACTCGAAATTTCTTCAAAAATTAGATGACCACTATCACAAGTGCATGGCTGACTAATTGAGTTATCAATAGACCAATATATATTTAAATGTATATATTATAGTGATTAGCCATTGACATTGCAGGAGGTCCAAAAGCGGGATGAAAAGATAGCTGGGACTAAAAATTGACTCAAATTCGGCACAGACATGTCTGTCTAGCTTTAGTTCACACATCCACCTAAGTGCAGACACGAGAGCCGTCAATAGCTACTCAGGTGTGGATAGAAGGGAATTACTGGGATGCGTGCACTATTGATTGACGAAGTTTTACTCCTGAAATCATGGGGAGGGGTTATGAAATGACCATGGAACTCACTCATATCCTCCCAAAAGTACACCAGACAATGAGTGTCATGTCAACCACTCGGGATGAATAGAGGATGTGTGAAATTCTGTCTGGTTAACAAAGTAAAGGGTCATTAGTCAGTAAAGAGCATTCTGTTTGAGGACACCCAGTCCAGAGTTGATCACATTTTTTGACGGTATTTGAAATACACCCACTTGGCGCATTGTTTTCATTACTTCATGAACTGGCGCAGTGAAACTCGTTGAGCTGGTAACCACAACGGTCGTACGCAAATTTTGTTTGGTTGCTAAGATGGGATTTCGCTAATTGTACGTACGAAAGATAGTCGAAAAAGTGCTTCGGAGCAAAGAGAGGATTACGGAAAGTTGTTAATATGAAGGGAATTGTCGGAAAAAATTGAAACGCATTTTAAAATTATACCCAAAGTGTCCCACCACCGAACATTCATCCAAAAAATCATTAAAAATTTAGTACACCCAGATATTTATTAATATCAAATGGCAGGCTTTACAATATTTATCAATAGCCCTTTAGTTGACTTCAGGCTTCACAGAGGGGAAGTAACATCAAATTGAAAAAAGTCGAGAGGGGGGGGGGGAACAGAAGAGTGTTTCAAGGATATTAGAGACAAACACAAGGGTAGAACAAAGGTGAGGTGAGTACTGTAGAAGAAGTCGAATATGACATACAGTTGGGTGATGGTAGTTTGAAGTGAGAAGTCAACTGCCAGTTAATAGACTTTTTTGCCGCATGAATGTACGTTGCCCAGGGTGCATCACGTGGAGGTAAGTCTATTGCACACCCCATACACCCAGATATAAATTTTATTATTTTGAATGCTACCTGTTAACAAAAGCATCTCAATTCATCCAACTTGTTCAAAATTTAATTTGATTATCATTATCATTATCACTACTTTAAATTCCGCTCATACGCACTATTTAACTGTTATAGGTAATTAAATTATTTGGCCTCTTATAGAAAATAGGCTACTTTTCAATCTCCATGACAAAACATCAATAACCGCGAACTGAACTATTTAATTAGGAAATTAGGCCGATTTCATTGAAACGTGGAAAAGCTGCTATTAGGTAGTTTTGGATCAAACTGGGTTAGGTAAACGTTGTAGATGTTTCACTCCTAAATGCTATGCTTCCTTTCCCCATGCAATACAACGATTTGACTGTCAATTTTTCATAAAAACACTTACTTTTATTAATTGCATTTATAGCCATGTTGAGGTGTAGGCGAATGAGGGAAATAAAACTTTTAGTTCGAGTTATACACCTATGGCTATTTCCGACTGCTGATTGGCCTTTTAGTAGCGTCAAAAGGCGTAAACCAATTAAATCTGAGGTTGAAGGTTGTGGAAAAATTCTCTAAACATAATCTTGTCTACTGGATAAACTTTTTGATTTAGTTCAGAGGAGCATAAACTAATCTTGGGGTGTTACAGTGAAGGTCGACATTTTCCCGTAGCAAAACTATGACTATTATACATTCTGAGAGCTACAGAGTCAACCGCTAAACCTCACCTCCTATTCGACCAAGTTTGTAGACATGACCATGGATTTGAATAACATGCTCAAATCAAGAGTCTTCTAGATCTGCAATCTTGGGGTTAGA